GCTTTCTGATGCTTACTTTGTTATGTTTTCAGTCCTTTTTATCCTCTGAGGCCTTTCAATCTTCTGTATATTTTCACTGCTGTGTTGTGTTTTAAGGGGTTTTATTTCTCTAATACTTTTAAATTTTGTTGTTTTAGCCACTGCTGCTTTTAATTGATTGCTATTTTAATTCATTGTTTTATTATGCTGCTTTTGTTTGGATTTACATAGATTAGAATTTTATCTGTGTTTTTATTGTATGTCACCCCAAGAGCTATTAGCTATAGGGCAGCTAATAAATTTCAGAAATAAAGAAATAAATGTCTAGGGTCTTCTGATGACAGACAAGGGAACTGATGTACATGATCACATTTGATTTTTTTTTTTAAACAACTGTGCTATCAAATGGTGTGGGGCTGTATTTATAAATGTGCACAGTCAAGCGTATGTTACTCTACACACATCTGTGTATTCTTACAGAAATACATATGTACTTAGAAAATAAGAATTTCTGGGCACATGTAAACAATGTACACAACTATACATGGTCAGTATGGTTGCAATTTCTATTAATTAATTTGCTAGGTGTGCCCCTTTATAATAATTTGTTTAATTTAGTTCAATTCCAGATTATTTGCCTACATTGCTTCTTTCCCTATTAATAACTGTTTGTATGAACTACACTTTTGAAGTATGCTTCCCACAAGCCCACACATTTAGCAGTCAATAGATTTTAGAAGAGTGAAACACTGAAGGTTATTATAGAATCATAAATTCACCTCAGTTCTTGTAGGTATTATTACCATGTACACTGCTCTTCCTTAGAGTTCCTGTGCCTTATCATGTAATTTTCTCTTTTCTCTTTCAGTGTCAAAATATTGATATTCTTTCAGAAACTTTCTTTTTAACACAGAATATTTTCTGGGGAAAATCAAAGGGAATGAATGACTAGAAGGATACTTCAAATGTGCATATTGATACATAGAAGGTTCTGTTGATTTTCCCCCTTTTTAAAATGGAGTGTTATTTTTCCTCTTTTCCCCCTAAAACATCCTTAGATTCTTTTGCCATTAATATGTAGGTGGCACATTGATACCTCTTATGGAAAGATTTTAAATGCAAATATTTAAAAACACAGGGTACAAAATTCCAATTATTTCTCAAGGAGAGAAATTTGCAGATAAGATCTGATCCATTTCTTACATTTCAAGTGTGGCTGCCAGTGGAGGAGAAAAATATGCTCTCCACTAGCAAAGCAGGGTTGAAATTGATCATGACGATTACTGTTAGATCATATAGCCTTGTTTAACAGATTGTTATGTCCACCTGTCTATAAATAGTCAAATTTCTTCTCAATGTTCTTTATTTCAGAATTTTTTATGTGAGAACACTATTGTTAGAAACATTACTGACAGAAATTAATAAAGACAACCTTGCACTGTTGTAAATAAATATAGAATTTCAAACTTGACCCTTGTATTTTCAAGGATGGGGAGATTTCAGGATACAAAGCTGAATACCACCTTAGATAATGGAGTTATACAGAAAAATCATTGCAAAGTGTGTCTAATGGCCTTATCGTCAGTGAAAAGGTATTACTATGACAAATGCAGTTCAGTGTAAGTGTAAACAGATATTAGGACAAAATTGCCTATCTTCATGTATGCACTGATGGGATCTGGGTTGGCAAGCTATCCACCTTGATCTCGAAGTCAAGGTGGACAGCTTTATTAGCTTTATTAAAATATTGACCTAGTATTTGGCAGCTGTGAGAAAAGCCTAACACCATGTTAGGAATCATTGGGAAAGGAATAAAAAAATGGACTGCCTTTATTTTGATACCTGTGCACAACTCTTTTGGTGTGACCACTAGTGATGCTTGTGTATTTCATTTGGTCCGCATTATTAAGAAAAACTTCCAGATTCATACTTCTCAGGTTAATGCACAAATCATAATGCAGCTATCTTTACTCCTTTTTGCATGTTTATTCATTTATTATATTCCTATTCAACTGTTTTCCTCTTGAAGGGCAGCTTGCTTAGTCCTCCTCTTCCCCATTCTATCATTGCAGTAATCCTGTGAGTTAGGTTAGGCTGAGAGTCAATGATTGGCCTAAAGTCACCAAGTAAACGTCATGGCCAAATTGGGTGTTGCAGTTACAAAGGGACTAGAGCAACTCCCTTATGAGCAAATGTGGCAGTGTTTGGAGCTATTTAATTTGGTCTTTAAAAAAGAGAAGTTAACAGTGGGGGAGACTAATATGTAAAATCATACAGAAAGTGTAGAAGATTGTTAGAATTTATTCTCCCTTTTTACAAGCCTAAAATGCAGGATTATCTAGAAAGACTGAATCAGGAATTACTCCCTCAGACCTGGTTAAAATTCTTTCTATAGGTTATTATGATGGTCAACAAATTTTCGAAGGAGATTAGATAAAGATGTGGAGGGTAAGACTATTAGTTCTCAAGATGCCCATATGGTGCCTCAAGTATTACAGAAGCATGACTTCACCACTTTCTGTGAAGCAACTGTCATATTACTTCATGTGCTCTAAGCAAGCTTCCCAGATCCATTTGTTTGGCCAGAGTGAAAAACATGATGCTAGCAGGATTTTTCTTACGTTCAGTATATGCAACTTGGTATAGTATTATTGTACTCCTGCAACCATTTAAGCATATTTATTCAGTAAGGAATCTAACAACATCCTGCAAATTTGGTTACAGAAAGTGTGTTAATAAATGTTACCAACATACAGAGATCTGAGCAAATGAGTCAAAATTATTTTCCGAGTAACTGTACAGTTGTTTTTCTAAAATAACAATGTCAAGTTGCTTACATGTTTTTCAGAGATTAAAACGTGTACTTTTTCTCTCCTTGTATTTAGTATACTCAGTATAGAACTAGGTCATTGAACAATGAAGTGAACAGCAATCTGCACTTTTCTGCTGCATAATACATTAGACATAACATAGAGAAATTGTTCACAAACCTAAAAGCTGGTATTTCATGTTTGTAAATTCAAGATGACATGACATTGTTTCATAGTAATGAGCAACAATGCTTTGTTCATTCATAACACAATGCCAAGTTCCATCTTAAGAAGTACCAACAGGTCATGAGGAAAATTCCGTTGTGTTTTTCCATGAAGATTACAGATAACCATTTAACACTTTGCTACAGATACCAGTGCAACTGCCATTGTGATAAAATATTGTGGTGCCATATTGTTGGAAGGCTCTTGTCCCCTATTATTTTGAAGTGTTGCTAACAAAATTATTTTTTCTTGGTTATGTGTTACTGGTCTTTATCCAGTTTGATCCAGTTATGTTTTAGTTGTCTTTATTATATAAATTTGCAGCACTCAAAAATGTTGTTTTTCTAGGAGGAAGCACTGTCCTTTCTCTCTCCTGCTCTCTTTTTTAAAATTCCTATTGAGGTTCAGTTCAAATTCCTAGACAAAATAATAGTACCATTTCTGTCATCTAGTATTCCTTCTTTGAAATACTTGTCTTTGAAAGCCTCTTGCATAAAATTCAGACTTGTGTTTTCTCAAGGGTTCCAATGCAAACGCGTATCTCTAGGAGTGGGGTAGTGGTTGTGCTAGTAGCTATCCCCCCACACCATTAAATTAGCAGTGAGTTTTAATAGAATATCCTCTTAAGTTATGAATTCCAGGATTTCTCCAGTGGCAACTCCCCCCCCCCCCCGAAATTCATTTAAGGGATATAGAAGAATGCTTGACTGATTACCAGTGGTTTCTCAATTTTCTGTTGTAATCCTTCATTCCTGCATCACAATGATGCTACCTGTCCTACTTTATACTCCCTTGAGTTGTAATAGGTTCTTTAAAGTTTCACTTCAATACCTGGTGGTAATCAAATTTTCTTTTCAGTACACATTGAAATGAAAAAGCACTTGAGAAGGCATAGGGTTGGATCCGGAGGTGCCCTTTTGCAAGTAGAAGGCTTCTGCACGCAGAAGGCTTTTTTTTAACTTAGCACAACATTCTTGCATGAAAAAAGAGAACTGAAATCCAGACACTTGCTTCTGTTTGGCAAAGGTTTTACACAGTGTCTTGCATAACATTGCAAGGTGCATACTAGCACAAGGCACTACACAAATGTTACAAGTGGTTTGCACATAAGCACATAGTGTCTTTTGCTAGTTCTTAGAACAGTGTCATTGTCAGAATTTCTTCTGCTTAACATCTTTGTAACCAATTCCTGCTAACCAGGAGGTTTCTGTCTTTCAGAGTTCTAGTGATCCTTGGAAGTCTAGATGTTATTTTCTAAAAGCCACAAGTTTCGTGGATTTGCTGCTTCTACATATCTTTATCCTACACCTGTTATATTATTGTATGAAATGGGAAGATGATATGTGAGGAATGCATGATAGTGTTTGGTTATTATACCAGTACCACTCTTCCTCTTCAAATAGTAATAGTGACATGGGGATCATATTGTATCACCCTTTCACATGGGCTCCATAGTGCCAAGGTAATTAGCAAACTGGCTTGTCGATTTTAGTATGAAGCTTTGCATTAGAAATATACAGTTATATTCCAGAAGAGATGGGCCATTAATTCTAAGTTTAACCATTAGCAGGGCCTTTGAAACTAGGCCTAAACTCCAAAGTGATGTCTATTGGTCACTTGGCTTTCTGTCACTCTCTGTGTGTCTTTGTTTCTTTCTCACTTTCTCTCTCTCTCTCAACTCCTTTTAAAGACACATTCTAATAATTCTATTGTTACTAGTGCTATCAAGTTCATAAGCACAAATAGTAGTGCTAGGTAACATACAGAACATGGAAATGCCTGAACATATGCCTTGAAATTCTTGTTTTATGGACAAGACTAGGGTGGAAGCAGAAGTCAAGAAAAGACTGACAGATTAGTTTGAAGAAAAGAACAGGAGAGATGGCATCCAAAGGAACAGACAACGTAATATAAAACAAATAAGCTCTGATAAGCAAACAAGATTAAACTGTAGAAACATTTAATGTTGTCTTTTCTTTTTGGCAGGAAAGAACACGCTTTGAGAATTTAGGCCCGCAGCTATCAGGGAAGCCCAATGAGGATGGAAAACTAGGCCCAGGAGTCATTGATCTTACAAGGCCAGAAGATGCAGAGGGTATGTAAATGTAACAAATCTACTGAGTCACTGAGCATTGCTATCCTTGAGCACTTTAAAATTGGATGTCTTAAATGAGCATTGTGTAACTAAGTCCCCATGTACACTTTGAGGCATTTTGCATGGATTTTAGTGACATGTACAAGCATAAGTCCTGGTTTTAAAATGGTGTCATACAATATGCATTCTCTGCTCATTATTTACAGTCTACTTCAACTGTTCTCATAAAGCTTTCCTTGAGTCAGTTCATATTTTATCTCAGCTGGCTGATATGTGCATTTAACTGCTCACATGAGTAGTGTAATGTTGAACAAGGTGACTCACAGATCATATATCAAGTTCCATGAGCTGGGATTTCTGGTTTTGGAGCAAGCTGCATTCATGAAATCTGATTGGCTCCATTATAGTCCATTCTTCCTACATTATACTAGCAACATGGTTGAACACTCAGATGAGCAGTTAAATGTGAATATCAGTTGGCTCAAGTACTGGGGAAATAGCCAATTCCAAAACACAAATGGGCCCTCTAAAAGCCAAACCAACCAAAACCGAAAAGCAATATACATTCACATTATGTTTTCTTTATCAACATAATATATTGAAACATATGTTAATTAGAGATGTATGAGAATTTCATTTCGGTTTGTAAACCAGTCCAAAGTACCCAAGGCATGCAACCCCAAACATAAATGTGAATGTATACATGCTCGCTGAAAATGTTTGCCAGTTCCAAATGTGAATTTTCATTCACAAAGTACATGCTTTTGAAAATGCAGGTGTTAACAAATGTGTTCATATAAATAGCACATTTTTAAAAAAAAAATGCACTCTAAAACACACTCAAAATGTTCACACTTTAGGTGATGGGAGGAAATGTACATTTTTGAAAATTATGCACTTTTCCTATTCAAAATGTTTACTTCTCCCATTTGAATGAATCAAAAACAGGAATGGGAGCAAGTCAAACTTAGCCTTGAGTAAAGATGGAGAATTTTGGTAAGCATAAGTATCCCTGATGTCAATGCAAAAGTAAAATTCCAGAGTGAGAAATACCCACTTATCTCCTGTCATGAATCATGAATTCTAGAATCATATCCTGTCCTCTACTCCATTGTCCCTAATTTGAATTGTCACTTTGTTGAATCAAGAAGATAGAGATTAAAAACATAATCACCTGCCCACATTGGAAGTAATTGGTAGCCACCAAGGCTCCTGGTTATTGGAATGTACCCTACAGCATTTTTTAGCATACATTATCATTAGTGTAAGGAAGAAAAGAGCAAAGAAGTGGATTATCCAATTAACTTATTAATTGCATTATTAATTAAAGTAAAATTTTAATTAGAAATGTCCAGTATGAATTGATATGCAGTGCTGCTGGCTATTGTAATTAGTCAAGGGAATATGCTACTTTTATGAAAACATAGCCTTCACTGAGATCCTATTGGTTATAGTACTTGCTGTATTTAAACCTGCCGTTTCCATTGATTTCAGTGGTCAAATACTACATTGTATAATGTTTATTTTAATTAGTTATCTAGATTGATCTTTCAAAACTATGACATCAATCAGCCAAAAGCCTTTGATGTTTCACAGCTTTATTAAAATACTGCTGATAAGTGACTAACCTGATCATATTCCAGGTTAAATTTTCCACCTGGAAGAAAATACTGTCCATTTTAATTTTTAAAACTTTTCATTTTGATTAAGTTTTATGGAATAATAAAAAACAAGTGAGCTAGTAAAACAAAGTAATATAGAAATGTTTTACCTCATTTTTAAATAATAATGTACTTGTAATTGCATGTAGTTCTTTTCTGGCAGGAAGTTACTGTGGGTTTTCCTTAGATTTGGTATTTTCCAGATCTTATCATTTCCGTTTCTATATTTCATTCACGTACTTCCTTGTGATATTTTGACAGTTATACAATGTCTTGGGCTAGCCTTTCCCTTACGCAGAATGGATTAACTGCCCCAGGCAGAAGATGTTGTATGGGGGTGGTTGTTCCTTCTGAATTCCCCAAGCAGTCCTTTTTGTTAGCCATGCAGTCTCCCCTGCACCACCAAACAGCCTCATAGAGTGGTTGTTGTGGTGTAAGTTTGCAAGCAGAAGGAAGAAAATTTTATAAGCCACTTTGAGCTTATAAGAAAAAGTGGAATGTAAATCAAATAAAGCAAGCAAGCAAGACTACTGTCCATGTGGACCACTGGAGAAGCTGTTCCATTTCCAGTGCTGAAATAGTTTAGTTTAGTTGCTAGTACCAGTCAGGTTTTGCGGGTGAAATGCTGAGGTACCAGTAGGCAGCAAAATGTCTGGTGCTGGTCTTAGATAGGACATTCTATGCGCGTATCTACAATAACTCTTGCTCAGCCGCAGATTGTGCCAGGTGAAAGATGCAGTAAAGGCACTTTTTCTCTAAACCTGGTGTGACAACTGTAATATGTTGCATGTCTCACCCTCAGATTTCATGAGTGGGCTCAGGTTAGTCTCTGTAGGGGAGAGAGTTGGATGAAGCCCTCTATTTACCAATGAAGAGGAACTGACAGACTTTATTTTATTTTATTCTAGTTTTTTATTTATAAAATTTGTATGCTGTCCATTACTTCCATCTCTGGACGGCTTACAACACTAATCAGAATAAAATAAATTAACTATTCCATGCTGGCTGAAAAACCAATAAAATACAAACAATAAAACCCAATTAATACATATTAAAATATAATATGTAATACATATTACATAGAAATCCAAGTACAAGCCTGGTGGTTTTCTTTCATGGATTAAGATGTGAATGTGTATGTTATACAGGACCAGTAGAATGGTACATCGATCTTTGTCCAGTATATCTAGCAAGTTACCACACTTGACTTCCTAGGTGCAGTCATACCACAGTCTCTTTCAAAAAGTAATGGCTTATAGTGCCAGTGAAAGTGCAGTGTAAATTTCAATATAGATGCTCTTAGGTCTTTTCCAAGCAACCTATTAGGTAACATTTTGGAAGTATCAGGTGTGTAAGGAACTCAGTGCTTTCAGTGAGTTCATCTGGCTTCTTCAGGAATAAGTCTTCATAAAACTGAGATCACAGACCCTTAGAAATTATACATTGTAATGGAGGGATGCTGTTGAGATAAAGCAGCATTCTTCCAATTGGCATGAGGTTAAGAATTCTGTATTGGGATTATACCTTTATTAGGTCAACTCCAAGGTCACAAAATAATATGCAAACTTTCAAACTCTTCATAAGATATGGCAAATAGTAAATCAATTAACATTGGGTTGTTTTTATTAAAGTTGAAGTATTTTTCCATAATGGAAAACCTCATTGATCTTTTGAGGATCCCTGAGAAAAAGCAGAGCTTTCTGAAGGTAATTTACTGAGCAAAAAGTGCCACATACATAGATGAAAGTTGGAGAGTCACTAAGGTTGCAGAGTCACCAAGTGGTTAGAGTGCTGGACTAGTATTTGAGAAATCCAGGTTTGAATCCCCACCCCAACCTAATCTCACTGGTTGAATTTTGACCAGTCACTGACTCTCATCTTAACCAAACTTAATATGGTTTCTGTGGAGATAAAAGGCAGAGGAGAATGAACATGTATAACAGCTTGGGCTCCTTGTAGGAAAGGTAATGTGACACACCCCACTGCCCCACCTAAGAAAACACTTAATAGCAGGCTTATTGGTTTTTAACCTCCACTATCCTTTTTATGTTCATCTTCCTCCTTGAGCTGTGGGTCTTTATACTCAGGTCCAGCACCCAGGTCACTATGCTCTCCTCAAGTATCTTCCTTCTCTTTTACCTGGGATTCACAGAAGACCCTCAGCTTTTTAAACTGTAACTCTCCATCCCAATTGCTCAAAGACATCAGCAGTTGCCTGGGGCACTCCCCTGTCACTACAAGGCTTTAGCCTCAACAGCCTCTGGTCAACTAGGATAATGACCTGAATACTGTTGTTTCCATTGCTGACACCTTCCTGTTTTCTCCACTGAGCTTGCTCTTAAAGATGTATGTGTTCTTTCCCATAGTTACCTACTCTTGCACCAATGGTTAACAGTAAAACAAAACAAGTTCATTTCTACAGATGGAAACAAGTGACACAATCAGTTATTTGCCTAGCTTATAAAAGTTATATGTTTTCAACACCAAGTTGAAATAGCTTTTCTACACAGTGTTCCCACCCAGCCTCTACTATCAGTTCTGATTTTGCTCTTCCACTCCTCAAAATAGAATGAAAGTTAAACTGCCTTTCAACATGTCTGCCCTTGGTCAACATTCCATGTGCTGTGACTGACTCTTGACAAAAAGGGAGAGGAGAAACTTCAGCTGTCCATCACAGTAACAAATATAGATATAACAAATGAATAGATAACACATATTTGTGTCAAATTTTAACCATTCCAAATTGCAGTAACACCAAAGCAAAAATAACTTAAAATGGCCAAATAGTTTAGGTGCTATAATTATTGTGGAATATCCAGCTTTAAAAATGCACTTGCATCCACCTGGACTCTCGGGTTTATTTTTCTGTTTTTATAAGAGCAACAATAGTTTTCTTCCAGGTGAAACTTCTATCTGCTATTTTGGAGTACAAACTGGAAGGAGAATTTTTTTTAGATGTTTCTTTTAAACAAAATTAAAGGTTTAATCAAAGACAGTGGCTGGCATAATAGAAAGACATGAGCAAAGTATTGGCTGGAGCAGGAACTTGATTATGCAAGTTTACAGATGATGGATCCAAGTCCCAAATACACAGGCCATAGTTGGTATTGGCACAGTTGATATACTGTGCTATCTCCTGCTGCTGTGGATGAGAATAGTTAAGTGGTTTGTAAAAGGATGACTATAGCCTGAAAAAAGTTTGGAAAGCACTGAGAATCCAGGAGCAAAGGAGCATTTTGGGCTTTCCCACATCCCATGGGATGACAGAACCTGCCAGAACTGCTCCTTCCCTCTGCACAATTCTAGTTCAAACAGTGACTTGGAAGTGGATGGGCTAGT